GGGGAGCAAGGTTGTTGAATAGAACAACTTAGAAAGCTGCCACGTTCAACAACAAATTATAGTCATTACACTTTATAGTAAAATCCTGTGAAGTGCCCTGAGACGTTTTGATGCCTTAATTAAGGCTCTTTATCAAAGGCAAGGACACTGGGTTCATTTATTAAATGGTTTGATGCTGTAATGGAAGAAGGCTGGTTTGGTGTTCTATTCAACAAGAGAAGGGAGGTTCTCTCTCTGTGTGTTCTGGCCGAGAATCCCCCAAATAAAATTGGTCACTCGTTTTAAGGCTGTTTGTGGGACATTGTTGTGCGTAAATTGCGCTGCCACGTTTGCCTACAAATCCGCAGGCACCTCATTTCACAGTAAATCTTCTGTAGCATTTTGAGAAGTCTTTCCGACATGATAAGGCGCTACACCAAACGCAAGGATTATTATTGAACCTCTCGTGGGTTTCTCTGTTAAGTGGCGAGTGTCTATTCTCTGCTTTTACCCCACCGAATACGAGCCTGCGCACATCATGTGCTCTGCACCTGGGCTGCTTAGTTGTGGAGACAAAACTGTATCCTGTCGTTGAGTATCATCTTAAAGTTCAAACTTTGCATAAATCGTGTTTAGTGGCTGATCTGCTCTGAGGTTATATCATCAGGAACAGGAAGGAATCAGGTTTGTTGTGGCTGTAGTACCATTGTGCTTTCAAGATGAGCTTCATTAGTTTAATGATGCCAACAGTCGGGGCTTAAGCTTATTCTTCAATAGACAATTTCTGTGACCTTTCCAGGTGGAGACGAGTTTACCATGGAAACGTGTGTAAGCAAGAAACGACAGAGATTACTAGACCAGTGAATATTGTATTGATACAGTGTACAATGCTTCCATTTGATATACTTTATCATTTTCATTAAATCCCAAGATTAATGTAGTAAATACATGTAGGAAAGAATTGCTATTTTTCCAAAACAGTGCCTGGTTCATCTGGGTGTCTGACGCATGCGCACGCACCCTGCTTACCTAATTCTAGAAAGTATTAGGCGCAGGTTGGCGAGAGCCAAGGCTTGGGAAACCCCAGAGTGTGCGTTGGGGGAACCGCTGGAGATTAAAACTGCACAGATTGCCATTAAAAGCACTGTCTGGCACCTTTCATTCTGTTTGTCCAGCTAAGATCACATTGCCAGTCGTGGCTTTGGCTTGTAGAGTTAATGAGAGCTGAGCACGACGAGTCCTAGTCCCAAGTCCTGTGAAACGAGGATAGGGTACATTTCTCAGTTGAATGTTCATGTTATAATAATGGCATTTTCCTGACCTCTAGAGTATTAATGTAATGTGATAAGTGGGGATGTTTCAGATTGATTTGAGAAGTCTATTTTATGAAAAGAAACAATTCCCTGGAGCCCCCAGCAGTATAAGAGACTACTTGATATGCTCACTGGTCTCATAAATTGAGTATTATTCAAAAATTATTATTCAGAATGGAGCTCCAGTACTTATTCGCTTGCTCTGCGAATTGGGATTTTTTAAGTTCTTGTGTAATAACAACAGCAAGATTACATTTGTATAGCGCCTTTCACGTCGGGAGGACGTCCCAAGGCGCTAAACAATGTACCGCATTTCAGACCTGAGCTGAGGTCAGGGGGGGAGAAGGGAGGGGAGGGGAATGGGGGTGGCTGATGGCATGGTCAAAGAGGAGGGTCTTGAGGCGGGACTTGAAGGAGGCTAAGGAGGGGGCAAGTTAGTGCCTTAACACGTGACCACATTATTCGTTTGAAGGGATTTTTACCCCCGGACAGCAATCCACCAAACAACTAACAAGCGGGTTCCTACTTACTACTAGGTAAGCAGAGGCGAGTGTGTGGAGTTAGGAAACTTCCCTAAGGTTTTTTCTCCGCCCAGGAATCGAACCCGGGTCCTCAACACGTGCACAATGTGATGGGCTGTTATTTCTAACATTTGGTTTGATAGCTGAAGCCCAAATCAGGATTATAAATTACTGGGGGGTGGGAGGTGGGGAGGGAACAACAAGAATAAATTGCACTTATACAGCATCTTTCATGTGGGGAGAACATGCCAAAGCTGCTAAACATCTGATCACGACGCAGTAACAGTGAAGCCTGTCACTGGAGTGGGCCTTCAAGAGAGGAGAGCAAGAGAGAAAATAAACCTATTTTTAGAATGCCATTTAATTACAGGGTTTGTTGTGGTGAAAGTTGAAAACACGCTCCTCATTCCATGGAGTTTGCAGCCTTCCCTTGTTTTGATCTATTTGTGCTCTCAGTCTGAGGACTCAATTGGTAACGCTCTCGCTTCTGAGTCAGAAGATTGTGGATTCAAGCCCCACGTCGGGACTTTCAATTCGCTGCAGTCTTGGCTGACACTCCAGAGTAGTACTGGGTGGGGTGGGGTGGGGGAGGAACCGCTGCATTTTTGGAGATGCTGAGCTTCGTATGAGCCGTCACATCAAGGTCCCGTCCACACCTGTTCAGGCGGAAGTTAAAGATCCCATGGCAAATGTTCGGAAAGAAAAGGGAGTTTCTCCCAGGTGTCCTGGCCAATGTTCGCGTGTTTTGTGGGTGAACGATGCATCCAGTTGGCTTGTTGCCTTAAAGTCACACTCTACCGAACGGGAACTTTACCGGCCGGTGACAATGGCGTCTCGCAGAACTCTGCAACCGATGCCGCTTCAGCTTCATTGTTTGGATGCTTCTTGAGCAGCGAGATTATCATTAACATCCACGGGAGGTTGTTTACTTTCGAGTGTATTGGAGGAATCTTGTTTCAGTAACAGAAGAAGAAAGAACGTTATTAACAAGTCAGCCAAGGCACGGAGTGCCTTAATTCTGTAAAGCTGAAAGTATGAGTAATCCCGAATGTCTCTGCCGTAACCTTTGTCCACCCTTAGTCTGCAATTAATTGCAGTGCTTGTTTTGAAGTGCTTTCACATGAATTGATAGGCACTGCATCAAATGTAAGGACAGTGATTATTTTTAACACTATTCCATCCATTGCTTGGAAATTCGGATCTATTTGCAATGTACAGTGATTCTTATTGTGGTGGAAAATCTTGCCCATAAATCCTAAACTGTGTATCGTTAACTTGCACAGTCTAACCGTGTGCGTACTCTTCCCTCCCAGCTCAGGCTCCCACTCCTAAAACACTTTGCAGGACATTCTCCCTACATGTAAGCTGCTATGTAAGTGCAAATTGTTGTTATCTGGTAGAGAAAGCCTTGCATTGAAAACAAACTTAGTTGTTCTGGGATTTTTTTTGCACTTCAGAGAACCATGCTCCAGCTGTGTGCAGAAAAGGGGAAGGATTTTCCTGGTTCTCTGCACCCCGCAACCTCACATCCAAACCCCAAAAAGAGAACTGGCCGTGTCCTTTCCAGCCAAGTGGTACTCAGCTCTCGTTCACCTGATACTTCAAGGCCCATGTCAAGACCCTCCTCAGCAGCTGTGCCTTCGGTCACCCTCCTACCCACACATTCCCTGCCCTCCACCCCTTCCCAAACCCAACCTCAGCTCGAGTTGAAATCTCCGACTCTGCAGCGCCTTGGGACGTCCTCTGGATGCGAAAGGCACAATATAAATGTAACGTATTGTTGATGCTAACCGACCTGTCATCAACAACAACAACAAAATTACAATTGTATAGCGCCTTTCACGTCGGGAGGACGTCCCAAGGCGCTGGACAGACAGAGTTACGAACCCGAGCTGAGGGTCGGGATGGGGGAGGATGGAGGGCAGTGGGGGGGCCAGCAGGGAGATCGAAAGCGTAGTCGAAGAGGAGGGTCTTGAGGTGGGTCTTGAAAGTGGCGAGGGAGGGGGCAGAGGGACTGGGGGATGGAGTTCCAGAGGGTAGGGACAGAGTGGCGGAAGGCCTGCCCGCCAATAGTGGGGCGAGCAAGGCAGGGGATGTGAAGCAGGCCGGAGCCCGCTGAGTGGAGGGAGCGAACAGGGTGTAGGGGGTTAGGAGGTCGGAGAGGTAGGGAGGAGCAAGACTGTGGAGGGCTTTGAAGGTGAGGACCAGGATCTTGAACTGTATCATCTGTGTGATGGGAAGCCAGTGGAGTTGGGAGAGGATGGGGGTGATAGGGTTGCGGAGCCTGGTGCGGGAGAGGACATGGGCTGCAGAGTTCTGGATGATCTGCAGCCTGTGGAGGGAGGAGTTGTGGAGGCCGACAAGCAGTGAGTTTGCATAGTCGAGCCTCGATGTAATGAAGGCGTGCATGAGGGTTTCAGCGGCCTGTGGAGTGAGACAGTGTCGGAGCCGGGCGACATTGCGGAGGTGGTGGAAGGCAGAGCGGCTCATGGCGCTGATATGGGGTAGAAAGGATAGTTGAGGGTCAAACAAGATGCCAAGGTTCCAGACTGACTTAGCAAGGTGGAGTGTGCAACCATGGATGGAGATGCTGTCAGCGCCTGAGGTGTGGAGGTGCTGACGGGAGCCAATCAGGAGGATCTCGGTCTTGTTGACGTTCAACTGAAGAAAGTTAGTTCTCAACCAGGACTTGATGTCTGACAGACATTCTGTCAGGACAGCAGTGGGTGCTGGAGTCAAGGGTGGAAGCAGAGACGTAGAGTTGGGTGTCATCCGCATACATGTGGAAGTTGACCCCATGTCTGCGGATGATGTCACCAAGAGAGAGCATATGGATGTTGAAGAGGAGGGCACCAAGGACAGAGCCCTGAGGAACATCGCACGAGATGGTCCGGGGGCGAGAGGAGAGGCCGTTTGAGGAGATGAAGTGCAGGCGGTGTGAGAGGTACGATCTGATCCAATCAAGGTCAGCGCCATGAAGGTTGAGGTGAAAGGAGAGGCGGTGGATGAGGATAGAATGGTCAACGTTGTCAAAAGCAGCAGAGAGGTCAAGGAGGATGAGGAGGCAGAGGGAACCCTGCTTGCAGGCCTGGTCAAACTGCGTTAAGGCTAAAGTCCTGTGGCCCAGATCCCAAAGGAATCAGGTGGTATTCAGAAAGCTGACTTGGCCATCTCTATTGCACTATATTGATTTTTGAGAGTTGGATTGAACTCTCCCTGCCTTGAAATCTTTCTATTTTTAGGAGATATTGGAAAGTGTGAAGCGGGATGAATCCTGCGTTTGAACTAACTGCAGATTTGGTGTGGATTACAGCTGAGACATAAAGTCACTAAATAATTGATTTTCCCTGCAAGCGGCATCAAAAATTCTATGCGTCATTGTGGTCAATGATTTTTTTTTAGTTATTTTATATAAGCAATGATTTTTGGCAGAGTCTGTATTCAGTAGCCATTTAAATTCTTCCATTTAAGTTGAATTAACCCATTCCACACAATAAGTGCACTGTAACTTGTGACGCACCTGGGGTTGTGAGAGTATTAATCAAACGATTGAGAAACAGGTGTTGCTTTATTTTGCAAAGTGCTACTGCCCCACCTCCCCTTCCCCCTCCTGGAGCACCTCCTCTCAACCCCAATTTAACAAAAAAAATATTGTTTTTGTCACTCAATCCACGACTGTTTGTGGGACACTGCTGTGCGCAATTGGCTGCCACATTTCACCCACAAAATGTACATTAAATCCCCTTTACAATATACAGCTCTTCACAATGTATTTTGTGAAGCGCTTTGAGACATCTCAATGACATGATAAGGTGCTATATCAAATGCAAATCGACTGATGAAAAACTGCTTCAAGCACTAGCCAGTTCCTATATTAGAGGCTTCTCAGTGTTGGCAGTTTCCTCAGACCTCTGTTAATGTAAGTGGTTCTTTGAAGCTGGCTTGTCTATGGGGGCTGGTCATAAATCGGTCACACACGGACAATTTAACAAAAAAATCCATTGCACTTTAATGACTCGGCTGCTCCCTTCTGAAGGTGTCTCCAGGGAACAAGTTGCTGAAACCAACTGAACCCAATTTGACCTTGAGTTTGTCATTTGCTCTGTTCCTAAATTTACCTCTCGGGTCTCCAGAGTCTATCATGAGTTGTGCAAGCTGGGAGAGGGCTTGAGTGGGCAGGTGTACGGGGAAAGGCAAAGTGTTGGGTGGGGGAGTGAGGGTGCAGGTTTGGTGAGGGTCAGTGTGCGAGAGTGCCTGCTTTTAAACATCATGTCAGTTAAATACTTAGTATTTAATACCAAGACAATAAACGTGGTGCTTGGGAAAGAAAGTCCATCTTGTCTCCCCCAGGCATCAATAGCCCATGGGCGACTGTTTCATAAATAAATCCCCTTTCTCCACCCCACCTCCACTCCTCCCATCACTGTTACAAACAGGACCACAGCGCGCTCTGCTTTTTCTCACAAGCCCTACAAATCCGCCTTGATTTTAACTTTCCCGAAGTGCGACTTGTTGAGCTTTGGGTGGTATTTGACGATTGACCCTGTGATATTGACTGTATTTCTGACGTGACCCTCACTGTTTAAGACTTTTGACATCTGGAAGTTTGATTTCTGCATTTAGACGTCACTGATGACATGGAAAGGGCTTTCTGTGGAAGGGCTGAGACGTTAAGTGCTGCACTCTGATTTACACCTGAAAAACACTTCAAATATAAATCTGTTGCCATGGCCGAAAAAGTGACTAATTTAATTGTTCCACTCCATATCTTGTTAATCTTCACTGCACTGCTTATTTCCAAATGTCACCAATATTCCTTTGGTGCAGTCTTAAAGAAAGGGAATTAATACTACATTTAAAAAAAAATCCTAAGAGCATTTTCAGTGCCCAGGACATAATGCTGAAGTGACTCCTAAAAGCTTACATGCGGTGAGTTAACAGTCAGATGTTAAAGCAAGTCGCCATCTGCCTATTCAGGTGGATTCGTAGGCGAACGCAGCATCCAATTTGCATACAGCAATGTCATGAAGTGAAAAGTTACGAAAGTAGTCAGGGCATTAAGGGATATGGGACAAGGGTGGGTAACTGGATTTGAGGTACAGATCAGCCATGATCTTATCAAATGGCGGAATAGGCTCAAGGGGCTGAATAGCCTACTCCTGTTTCTATGTAGTGCACAAGTTTTGATCCATCTCATGGATTCAGATGCATGTTGTATCTTCCTGCACCTAACCCGGTTGTACCATACTTTCAATGCATCCGCTTTCTACGGATGTTTCGGTGTGATTGATTGCCGAGGCCTCAAACCTGTGCGCTTCTTTCCGCAGTGTTCCATCTCTCGAGCAAGGTGACCACGGTGGTGCCCGAGAGCTGTCTGCTCATCTTCCTGGGTTTAGGCCTCGGAGGCATTGTTCTCGCAGCTGCCAAGAAGCCCGAGTACCAGCTGGACCCAGACACCTTCTTCCTCTTCCTCCTGCCACCCATCGTGCTGGATTCCGGGTACTTCATGCCCAGCAGGCTCTTCTTCGACAACTTTGGTACCATTCTGATGTACGCAGCAGTCGGGACCCTCTGGAATTCCTTTACAACGGGAACCGCACTTTGGTGCGTCAGGTTGGCTGGATTGATGGGTATGTGATAGCCTAGCACAATACTTGCTATGTCGTTCACTCTCCAGATCAATTCACATTGATTTGTTGGGCTGCTGAATTGCTGTGTGGGTGTCCAGGTCACATCTCACTCGCCCACACTTTGATCTTGTGAGTTGCCTATTTTCTGTCACACATCACAATCCCACTGTGTTATAACATGCGTCAGTGCCTCTTTTTTTAAAAAAAAGAAACCAAGCTCTGTGTTATTTTTATTTTTTATATATACATTTGTGGGTTTCGCCCATAAAATATGCAGTTGATTTACTTTACAATATATTCTGTGAAGGGCTTTGAGACGTCTCGACAAGGTGCTAATGCTCTAAATCAAATGCAAGGATTATTATTGTTATATATTTGTGTGTTATGTATATTCATTCTGTAAATTCTATTGTTTTACATATAAAAAGTATATCATATATTGTACTCTAGAATTATTGCTCAAATGAACAATCTCATACAAATCGTATCAGAAATCATTGCTAATTGTATCATGTAACATCTCTTCTCCTCAGACCCTAAAGTTGATGCTGACCTGCTTGATTTCCTGCTATTTGGGAGCCTGATATCTGCTGTGGACCCAGTGGCAGTGATAGCCGTGTTTGAGGAAGTCCACGTCAACGAAACACTGTTCATCATCGTGTTCGGAGAGTCTCTCCTTAATGACGCAGTCACTGTTGTACGTAAACATTTCATTCATATCGATGCTTCAACAAAGGCTCTTGTGTGAAATATAACAAAATTTAAAATCCAAAGCAACTGTACATAATCTGGTCACCATCCAGCCATATCCGTACCAGTATAAAGCATTGGAATGTGTCCCACTTTTGCCCGCAAAATATGCAGTCAATCCACTTTACAGTATATTTTGTGAAGCGTTTTGAGATGTCTCAATGACGTGATAAGGCACTGTATCAAATCCATGGATTATTATTATAATAATACAGAAATGTCTTGCTTTATCCGGCATTGTAGCCCTGACATAAAACTAATAACTCAGGCATTTGATGTAACACCTTATCACATCATCAAAATATCTTTCAGTGTGAAGTGTAGTGACTGTATTCTTTTGGGTAGCTCACATTCCCATTATTCCAAATTGAAGTGCACTTTGTGCACTCTTGCTTCTGTATTTCTCCAATATTTCCTTCCCTCGAAATACATTGAATAACTTTGACAGCACTTAATCCAAATGCCTCTTTCACAGCGGGTAGTGATGATTACTTGCCGTGTTTCTGTAGTTCACTTGAAAGCAATTAATGATGGGAAAGAAAATCTACAGAATCAGAGCTTACAGACTCTAATGAAGTACAGAAAATTCAGTGCGGAGACAGAATGAGAATATAGGCGAGCTAAGAGAGGGGATGAAATAAAACTAGCAGTAAATCGGATTTATTTTCCTCTTTCTTTCCACAGGTACTTTACAAAGTGTTCAATTCTTTTGTGACAATCGGCTCAGAAAACATACAGGCTTTGGATTACGTCAGGGGTGTAGGTAGGTAAACTCTGTCAACTCATCCAAATATCTGTTGAATGAAAGTTTTTTCGGTTGAATAGATGTTCAAGTTAATAAGATACCTGGCCAACAATCCCCCACGTAAAATTGGTCATTCACTTCATGGCTGTTTGTGGAACATTGGCTGTGTGCAAATTGGCTGCTGCATTCACCTACAAAGTACATTTACTACACTTCACAGTTCTCCTGTGATGTGTTTGAGACATTCTCCGGAGGTGAAAGGTGCTAGAGCAAATGCAAGGATTATTGCACAAATTGGCTGCTGTGTTTGCCAACACAATATACAGTCTTTACAATATATCCTGTGAAGCGCTTTGAGACAACAACAACAAATTAAATTTATATAAGTGCCTTTCATGTCGAAAGGACGCCCTTAGGCACTCGACAGTTAAGGGTTTGCACCCAAGCTGTAGGTTGGAATCAAAAGGGTTGGAGAATAGGGGGAGTGGGGTTGGGAGTGTTGCCAAAGGCACGACCAAAGAGGAAGGGCCTTGAAGGAGGCGAGGGAGGAGGCGAGGCGGAGGGAATCGGGGAATCCAGACATCTCGATGATAAAGCGCCTCATCAAATGCAAGGATTATTATTTATTATAATGTTTATAGTTAAGACCTACTGTACATTGTACCATGTTCTCTCCTTTCTCTAGCCTCCTTCTTTGTGGTGAGTTTGGGTGGCACAGCTGTGGGAATCATCTTCGCCTTTGTGCTGGCCCTTATCAGCCGCTTCACCAAGCGGGTGCGAATTATTGAGCCGCTCTTCGTCTTCCTGATTGTTTACCTGGCCTACCTGACCGCTGAGATGGTCTCTCTTTCCTCCATCCTAGCGTAAGTGGCTGCTAAGCCCCCCATTGCTGCTGCCGAACACGCATTCACAGCGTTTGTGCCTTGTTTTGAAGGTCTGTCCTGGAGGTCCCTGCTCGCCTATTCACACAACCGCTGCTTACACAACTCATTCAAATCAGTTAGAGTTGGTGAGCTGAACACGAGGTGATGAAGATTGAGTCTTCACTTGGATCACCAGTCTACTATTTTAGCTATTGTGTATGTGATTACCCACCGCATTATTTTGGACTCCCCCCACTATTCAGAACACTGTAACCAGAGGGTACCAGGGGTTGAAGAAGACAATATCTACCTGGGACAACAGTTAGGGCTACAATTGCAACAAGGAAGAGAAACCAGATGAATCCAACATAGGATTAGTTACACTTATCTCAGCAAGTTTCTTTCTCTTTCTCTCTGTCTCTCTCTGTCTCTCTCTCTGTCTAGTGTGACATTCTGCGGGCTGTGTTGCAAGAAGTACGTGGAGGCCAACATATCGCAGAAGTCCCGCACCACTGTCAAGTACACCATGAAGACTTTAGCCAGCAGCTCGGAGACCATCATCTTCATGCTGTTGGGAATCTCCGCTGTGGACACTTCAATATGGACATGGGACAGTGGTCTGGTGCTCTTCACACTTCTTTTCACCTTTGTCTTCAGGGCATTAGGCAAGTTACTTTTTAAATGAGTCCAATGTCCTGGCCTCCATCACCTTTCCTGGCAAACTGTTCCAGTCGCTGATTACTCTCCGAGTAAGGTTTGAAGAAATGATGAATTGGATGTAGAGTGGATCGCTCCATTGGCTATGAGGGCTCCACCAGGGTAGACTCAACTTGCCGATTGACAACCTGCCCTGTAACTGTTGTGATTTCCGTTCCAGGGGTAATGATGCAGAGCTGGGTGTTGAATCACTTCCGGCTGGTGCCACTGGACAGGATTGACCAGGTGGTGATGACCTATGGAGGCTTGCGAGGGGCCGTGGCCTTTGCCCTGGTGATATTACTGAACGATGAAATTGTCAAGGCAAAGGACTACTTTGTTGCGACGACCATCACCGTTGTATTTTTCACAGTGATCATTCAGGTAAGTGTGAGTCCCGACCTGCCCTGAGGGAGGATTTCTTTTTCTTTTTGGGGGTCAGCTGGGTGTCTGACACATGCGGAAACCACATCACCGTGCTTAAGAGAATCCAAACCAAACTGAAATTCAATGCATCCCACCTACACATGGAAATCCCAGAGATAAATTGTTGGAATGGAATGCACTCTCTCTCCCTGGAGGGACCCATCCTGCTTACCCAATTCCGTAAAGTATGCGGCACAAGTTGTCAAGAGCCAAGGCTTGGGGACACCAGAGTGTGCGTTGGGTTAACTGTTGGGAGACAGGATGAACAAGGAGTAGAAACTGAGTCTTTTTAACTCTCAGGACTGATGTACTCTAAGGAGTTAGATTGCATTCACTGCTTAGATTACATCGTTTCAGAATTAATACTCTTAATTTGATACAATGGCAGCTAATTTTATTTGCAGCAAGATCCCACAACCTATAATAATAATAATAATCCTTGCATTTGATATAGCGCCTTATCACTTTGTTGAGACGTCTCAAAGTGCTTCACAGAATATATTGTAAAGTGGATTGACTGTGTATTTATGGGCAAAACTGCGAGTGAGAGGATTGTTGGGCCAGGACACTGGGAGAAAATTCCCTTCTCTTTTCGACTATCACCGTGGGATCGTTTAACATCCAACTGACCAGATAGACTTGACCTCGGTTTAACAGCTCTTCTAAAGGACGGCACCTCCAGACAATGCAGCGGAGTCTCCCTCAGTGGTTCACTCGGGTATCGGTATCAGCCTCGAGTGTGAGCTCGAGAATTGTCTCGTGGACCGAATTACAAATTCCAATACAGCAGTCGTCTTGTTCATTGTGTGGAAATACACTGCGTGGGTGTGCCAATGTGGGCGTTAATCTACCTGTGCCTTCTGCCTGATTGTATTCCATCTCTGAAGTTCACCACTTAAAAAGGTGCAGTGTTTGACAGAGTGGTTTTGTGCACTGTTCTAACCAATCTCCATAGCAACAAACATAAAAATAAATAAATAGGTGTCTGCTGTGTAAGCGCAGCAAATGAAAGGCATTAATTAGATGATGGAAACGGCTTCAGCTGCTGCCTGTGTGTTTTACTGCCAGCTTCGCTCTTATTCGGCTCAGGCAGAGAGAGGCTGGGGGTTTAGCTAACGCACACAAAAGAGCAGAAATGAGCTTCAAAGTTATCAATTTGTGTCAGGGCTTTTTATTACCAGATGAAAGGAATAAAGGTGAGTTACGGGCAAAGATGCAGCCTTTCCCCTATGCTGTGCCTGACCGTCACGACAGTGCCCACACACCCAGGATGACTCACTGCAGAGCTTCAGTGAACCGCTTGCTTATTCTGTCGCTCTTGTCAAAGCTGCCAATTTTTTTTTTTTTTTTGCAGCATTTAACTTGTGGCCAATCCCGAACTGCAGAAAGCTGTCTGGTATTCTCTTCATAGGGGATCGTGTGTTCGTCCCAGTAAAGGATGTTTGTGCACCACACACCCTGTTTCAAGTCAGCCCTCTCATTATAACTCTCAGATTATTTCTTGGTCAATCCACTTTACAGTATATCCTGATAAGGCACGCTATATCAAATCCAATTGTATTATTATTATTATTCATTTTCCCGAGCTCCACTGATGTGCAACAGCTATTAAGCTTTGTCCTTCTGGATAACGTGCAATGTGAAGTCTTTTAAAAGGAGCATTGAAATGTGTACATGTGCGCGAATGTGTGTGTGTGTGTGTGTATAAGGTGGATCTGAAAGCACTTACACACTGGTATCAAGCAGCTTTTCACACAATCCATCTGCCAATCATTGGTATAACTGTAATTACTTTGTCACTGGGTAATATTCATAAAATGTCACTGGATAATTTTGAGAGATGAGTGTTGCGTGGTACCATGCTGTGCATTTCAATCTGACTGGCAGCATTTTCTGACGACTGAACCTACTGAGCAGCTATTAATCTGTTCCTGCCCTGAGTGAGGAAATGAGTCCTGTCCCCACCTCCCCCCCCGAGGCTCAGTGTCGGGCTCCACCACCATCAAGCACGCTCTGGGACGCTACTCTGCGTGAAGAGCTCTATATAAATGCAAGTTGTTATTGTTGTACTGGGGACAGCTGGATCTCCACTTGGACATGTTACATTCCTCAGCAGAACCTTTAGAGGCTTTGATTCCTGCCGTTCTCAGTGCAATAACCAGAGTAAAACTTAAATTTACCGTTGTGTTTTTGTGCTGCACAGACCAAGCTCATTCGGTTCAAAAAGAGCTATTTGCGAGTTACTGGGAAAGGCTGAAATAACAGTTCTTTTTTTTGTTCTCTCTTGCAGGGTTTGACCATAAAACCTTTGGTGAAGTGGCTGAAGGTTAAACGCAGTGATCACCATAAGCCGACGCTCAATGAGGAGCTGCACGAACGTGTAAGGGTTTGAATTCTCAGATCTTAAGTGATGGTGCTTCTGTGCTCATCTCCGTTGCACCTTGTTTGCCCCTCCATTGCCCCTCCAGCTCTGGAACACTCTTCCTTTATTCCCTCCGCCTTGCCCCCTCTTTCCCCCATCTTCAGGTCGCGCCTGAAGACCTCCTTCTTCTGCTGTGCCTACGGTGACCTCCCCCTTCCCACCGGCTCAACATCGCACAGTCAAGCGCCCTGGGACACTACCCTGCGTGAGGGGCACTATATAAATGCAAGTTGTTGTTTTTGGACCATAATAGTAAGAGGGATCGCAAGATTGGTTTGGATGAAGAAGTTCCCATCATCCCACCTGATCTCATCTCCCTCCCATCATGCCATGACAGCAACAAGGTTTTACTATTAAAACGAGTCCAGGGTTTTGGCCTCAACCACCCTTCCTGGCAACCTGTTCAGGTCGTTCTTTAAAGGATAAAAAGCCTGAGCTGTCTTGAATCTCCAGGTTATCATTTCCACAGTAACGGGGTAAACACAGCTGGGAAACAAATCAAAGGCAGCAGTTTGATCCCAGCATCTAAGTTCTACCCACTGGAGCTAAACCTTTTGGTTTTCCCACCCGCAGTAAAGTCCTGCTGTCTGTAAGCAAATCCCAGCCTGAATTACTGCACATATAAAATCATTGGCACCTGAGCCCTTCATCTTCCTAAAGGGCTGTAAGTTGCACCAGCTGAGACCCATAAACTGCTGTTATTACGCATTCATTATTAACGTTTGCAGTTTAAATCAATGCAACCCAGAGTTTGGGCAGTGTGGTTTGTTTTTCATGGCACTTCACATGTTTGAAACTAATAAGACGATGGTTTCTGCTCTGAAGTCTGGAAATGGCATTGTGTCGCATAGTTTGTTCCCTTCTGTACTTTGGTTAGTCGGCTCTTGAGGTATTCACCTCAATCTACCGCCCGCAGCGAGGTTTTTATTCACCAGCAATGAATCCACACGCAGAACTCTGATCAAGTGTTTCCTTTTCAAGGCCTTTGACCACATCCTGGCAGCTGTGGAAGACATTGTGGGCCACCACGGTTACCATTATTGGAGAGACAAGTAAGTAACTAAGATAAACTCTTAACACAGGATCTATTATAGGCTTCTACTGCACTCTACAACTAGTCAGGGGGGAGGTGATCATAGGTGCAGTCAAGGAGGTAGGACTTAAAGACAGATAAAAAGATGACGAGACAGCTAGGGAGAGGTTACCCGTGTAGGTTATGGAGGCGCGGAAAGGGTAGGAGCCCTACTACAAGCCCGGGTTTGGGGGCACCCTTGCTCTTGCCCTGACTAAGATAAGTTAACTGTGCATTTGTGTTTGATTTGAACCTGTAAACCTTCAGGCTAAATGGCTCAGTGCTGTTGCAGGGGTACATTTATCCACTGGGCCTCTCAAGGGAAGCTTCACATCATATCATTTGTTACAGTGTAAAGTTAAGATAGTCACACACAAGCTTATCCATCATATCAACCTTTCTACCCACCCCTTCGCCGATCCAGTCCTGATGATGTGCTCACTGTTCCTGCAGATGGGAACACTTTGACAAGAAGTATCTCAGTCAATTGTTGATGCGCAAGTCAGCCTATAGGATCAAAGACGAGATTTGGGACGTCTATCACAAGCTCAATGTCCGGGACGCGATCAGCTTCGCTGACCAGGTGAGCACAACGAGTACAGTCGTAGTTTCTTGCGTTAAATGATTCTGTCAACTGCGCATTAGCCTCTGTCACTGAGAGGCTGCCTGCCTGGCTGGGCGTCAGAACCATCTGCTGCCTTTTGTGAAGCTTGTGATGAGCTTCAGTTTTCAGCTCGGCAGAGAATGAGTTGATGCTGGGGTCATCCTCGATCTCAGAATTCGGAAGAAGGTCAAGTTATCATACGTTAAAAGCACTAGACACCCAGGGGCCAGTGATGCCCCACTAGAGGAGTCCTGTGGAGTCCTGTAGCTCAGTGGTTAGAGCACTCGCTTTGCAAGCGAGAGACCTGAGTTCAATTCCAGGCAGAGGGCGAAACCTTGGGCAAGTTTCCTTACTCCACACAGAGCCTAATAATAATCCCTCCAAAAAACCAAAAACAATAATAAATTGGTCATTTTCAATCTACGACTGTTTGTGGGACGTTGCTGTGCTCAATTGGCTGCCGCGTTTGCCCACAAATATACAGTCAATTCACTTTACAGTGTGTTCTGTGAAGTGCTTTGGGACGTCCTCCCGATGTGAAAAGCGCTATATCAAAATGCAAGGATTATTATTATTATTAGAGAGCTTTACCAATTCACAACTTGACCACCGGATGGTGCCATGTACTGTACTAAAGTAGGATGAAATCTCAGTGTAGCAGTTTTGCTTCAGTCTGACGTGCGCTGTCTTGCGACTTGATGGAGGAATGCCTTCAGTGGGACAAATCTGAAGGAAATGTTTTTTTCCCCAAGGCCTGAAATTATCATCATAGAATCACAGAATTATACAGCACAGAAGGACGCCATTCGGCCCTTCGTGTCTGTGTCAGCTCTTTGAAAAAGAGCATCAAATTATCTTGCATCCAGAAGATTGACTGAATGTTTCCACATAAAAATGGGGTTTCAAGAGAAAGGCTATGGAGAAGTGAGAGCCTGATGAACAGATGGGAAAGAATCATTGGCCGATATTTCCCATTTCCCCAGGATTCCCCACGTCTCCTAGATAGGCTGAATTCCAGCACCACTTCCCTGTGGGTTACAGGCTTGGCTGCAATCTCCAGGCTCACTGGAATGATTTCCACTTCATACAAAGCATTAAAAGAAACGTGGAACAAATTCAAATTAAAGAGCCAAACCTGTGTATTTTCTACTGCACTTAACATGAATTATGTTTTGCGGTATTCAAACTTAGAATCACAGTGTTTTTTACCAGATGAAATTTAGAGACTTTTTTGGGGTTGGGTTCCATCCACACAGCATGTTTCAACAAGAACTCTTCCATTCGAACTGTGAGGAATAGATGTTTTGCAAATCGTTTCCAATGGTTCATTCTTCCTGGGGCAGTAGTGATTTACGCACTGCAGTAGTCAGGAGTTTTTGTGCTCCTGCAAACTCTTGTTTCAGGTTAGGGCAGTTATAATATGTGATGATCTCCATGCTTTTATAATAATAATAATAATAATAAATATAAATAAATATATATATAAATAAATTTTGTGTTAGGGAATGCAAATAATCTGCCTAGATTCCTACATCAGTAAACTGTGTGTGTGTGTATATATGTGTGTGTGAGAGAAAGAACAGGAAGTGTAGTCAGGATTAGTCTGCAAGATCCCACATGTGGCACAGCCAACAGAATTAGTATTCACGCTTTCGAAATGGAGTGAAATCACTTTAGGCCAGATTTAACACACATGGAATCATAGACATTTACAGCACAGATGATGGTCAATTTGGCCCATTGTTTCTATGAAAGAGCAATCTGTTTAGTCCCACTTACCTGCCTTTTCCCCACCCTTCTTCACCCAAAGGATGGTAGATACCTGGAATAGGCTCCCCAGGGCGATACTATTTATGAAAATTGCATCCACTTGTTCAAAGAAAATCTGTTCGACCCCACTCATCCATTTGCGTTGGGGGTAACCCTCACAATCTGCTGAACAAAATCTTTCCGTATTTTATGCCATATACACCAGTGCATGTTATCCCCAAATTATAATGAAAGCTTCCCTTAGGATTTTAGGATTTCAAAGATATTGCTCCTCTCCAGCCTTTAGTACCAGTGCAGCTGACCTTGTGACGCTAGTCAGAAAAGGATGCTGATTCATAGTAACTTTTTAAATTATTTCACACAATTTTTCAGTCCCTGACTCTCTGTACCGGACCTGCAAATGCTTGCTGTTGACTTGATTATAGAAGAGTATTCCTCCTCCCACCATCACCATCTCACCCTGTCGTGTTAACACAAGACCCATCCCAAATGTAAGAACACAAATACTGCCTCCTATTAATCACTTGCCCCCACATAACTATTTCACATCAACCAGCACCTGATCTCCAACAGACCATATAGTGGGTTAATCTCCTCAAAACTGCACTGAATTCACAAGCAGAATATTATTCATCGAGATCTGCAGTCTTTGACAACTGGACATTCAGCATGTGTCAGTGATCCAGGGAAAGACCTGATTATTTACTGTGTAACTTCCCCAAATCACTAAATCTGTTTGGCATTATTGGATGTGTGCATTGGTGCATGGCAAGCTGTGCAGTTTTAGCTGGTTAAACTCCAGCAGTTATCCCCAAATGCACACTCTGGGGTCCCCAAGCTTGAGCTCTTGCCAATCTGCACCTAATACTCACCGAATAGGTCAAAAGGGTGCTGATGTTCCAGTGCATTGCTGGGGGAGCACTGCATTGTTGGAGGTGCCATCCTTCAGATGAGACATTAAACCCGAGGAGGTTTTCTCTACCTGTTCAAGTGGAAGTTAAAGATCCCGTGGCACTATTTGTCGCAGTATCAATTCCCCAAATAAAGCTGGTCATTCAGTTCATAGCAGTTCGTGGGATATTGCTGTGTAAAAATTGGCCGCCACATTCTTTTGGAGCATAAACAGTCATTACCCTTTACAGGTATTTCCTCATGTAGTGAGCGCCACTATAATCAAATGTAAGTATTGTTATTAGATCTCGCTGTTCTTTCATCGTTGCCGGGTTGAAATCATGGCACTCTTCAATCCAGCAGCAATGTGGGAACACCATCAGAGAATGACAGCAATTTACAGCACAGAAAGGAGGCCATTCGGCCCATTGAGTCTCCCCTGACTCTCAGAGCAAGACGTGCAGTCAGTCCCTCTGCCCAGCCTTCGCGCCATCCGCTTTCACGTCTGTATCCTTCAGATACAAGGACTGCAGTGGTTTAAAGATGAAATCCCGCCACCTTCCCAGGGCACTTGGGAACTGGCAATGAGGGCCTGGCCTTGCAGTGTCAATTACATCCTGAGCGACGAGTTGTTATAATAATAATAATAATCCTTGATTTTATATAGCGCCTTATCATGTTGTCGAAGCGCTTCATATAAAATTGAATCATGCCATTTGATTCCACTTTGAATACCTTGCTTGGTATATTTCCCTTTATTCCCTCATGTTGGCAGACTATTCCAAACATACATCCCTCTGTGAGTAAAGTGGATTTCTTTTCCCCCGATGTCTGCTCTAAATTTACCTCTGACTCAGTGCCACTTACCCTCTGGTCGTACTTTGAAGTAATAGTCTGGGTTGTCCTTATCTAAACTATTTAATATTTCACATACTTCAGTGAAATTCACCCCTTAACCATCTTGTTTCCAGACTATAACAGGTTTGGTGTGACCTTTCTGCTCTGGGTGTGTTTCCCTGTGTGTAGCCAGCAGAGTAAAATGGGTAGAGGGGGTCTGTAACCCACACAGTTTTGTTGTAAAGGTGTTTTGCGATACAAGCGTCATGCAATTCTGAACTGTGATCTCTAGCATTCTGTCTGCAGAATTGGTTCCGTAAATTCACCATTGAAACTGCTTCTGCAATCGTTCTTATCCTGTACCTGTCAAATCACACAGAGCTTGTTGTCTCGTGCTTCAGATTTCTGAACGACAGCCTTGATTTACAGCTTCATAAAGTGTAGCATTTCGGCCGAGAGGGAGGCTTTAAGTTAAACAAGGGACTTTAAAACTAATGTACTGTAGGGAAGACGAGGAGGAGGAGGAGGTCGATGAAAAGACTGCCTTGATAGAATAATAAATTTGGGGATTAGGGCCAAGAATGAAAGGCTCTTGAGTATTCAGTCCAGATTGAAAAGGTTTCAGTAATGCAGCAGTTCTGTACATTTTTTAAATTTGGTCTGTTTTGTTTCTTTTTATCTATTGTAAATTGCAACGATCTAACACACATACAGTTCTCGTTTTGTAAAATGAACCTGTGGAAAGCAAGTTCTCCCACATCAAACCCTGGAGACTTGTCTGTGGTATTCAGGTGTGTATGCATGGGCGAGCTTTTAGCTGTTTCTGCCCCACAGCTCTCTGCAACTCCATCCCAGAGTCCCTCTGACTTGACCCCCTCATTCCCTATTTTCAAAGCCCACTTCAAGACTTGCCTCTTTGACTGACTGTGATTTCAGTCGCCCGCACCCACTTCAGCTCCTATTCCCCAGCTCAGGTGCCCAAGCAACAGTGCAAGGTTCTTTGAGATGTCCTACTGGCATGAAAGGCACTTTATAAATGTAAATAATATTGTAATTATTACACATTTCTTTGCATTCTTCAATGCATTTGAAACCCAGAATTGCACCCTAGTTTTCAACTTGTCTTTGAAATTGTGGGAAACTCCTAGATGTGATGTGAAAGTCGGGTCTTTCTATAAACTGCAGCTTCCAGATAAAGATTGAATTTTAAGGAATTCCACAATTCTGTGCAATCATAAACCAGGAATTTTTACAAGCTAAGAGGTGGAATTTCAAGCCCCTGATGTTTCAGAGAGTCAATAATTGCGCACTTCTTAAATATCACAATTCAGACCCCCTTGTACTTGCTAAATTCTTATCCTTATCAAGCCAAGATCCCCTTCTCCAGCCTCTCGTGTGGTCCTAGTTTAGTTTATTTGTTGAAATATATTTAGTTCTTACAAGCATGATTATTTCAGATCTCTAATGGTTCAGTAGAGTAA